CCCAAGTGCTTGGGCCCTGCACCCGCATGGAAGACCGGGAGAAGCGCCTGGCTCCTGGCTTCGGATCAGCGTGGTGCGCCAGCCGCAGTGTACCGGCCATGGCGGCCATTGGAGGGTGAACCAACGGCAAAGGAAGACCTTTCTCTCTGTCTCTCTCTCACTGTCCACTCTGCCTGTCAAAAAAAAAAAAAAAAAAAAAACAGAAAGAAAAAAGAATGTGGGCTATGCAGTTAGACTGGCGGGATTCAAATCCCAGTCCCACCACACACTGGGGCCTGGGCAATTTATTGATCTATCACAGCTTCAACAGCTACACACGTAAGGACTGATGTTAGAATCTATTCTATAGGGAGACTGTATCACAACCTGCTCCAGGGGTGGGAAGGTCACAAACTACCCTAAAGGATGGCTATGTTAGGACACGCCGACGCCGACGTAGGATGGTGGGCCTATTGCCTACTCCATAAGGTGTGCTTGTCACGACATAGGGCAGTTGTGACCAGGAAAGTAATTTACACTTGTTAGCGGCTCTAAATTGCACCTGGCCCAGGACCAGCTCTCATTAACTGTTGACTAGGATTATTATTTTTACTAAAATTAGTCCCATCCTTCAAGATCAGATTTCAAGAGCCTCCCTTCCATAATACTTTTCTTGATTATCTTAAGAAAAAGACAGGTTTCCTTCCTTAGGTCTTTGATAGTGAAGTCAGTGGACTCCACCTTAGCATCTGAGCTGTTTCTTTCCACCTCTCTTTCAGTCACGATCTGGTGCCCAGTGTGCCAGGTGTTTTCACATAAGACTGCTCATTTAAGTCATGTAGAGTGTGAACACTGCAAACTCTCTCGCTTTACAGACCAGAAAACTAAATGTTAGAGCAGAGAAAAGATGACGAAGATGACACAGCTCACAAATGACAGTCCTATAACCTCCTCCTCTTCCTCTAAGTCCATCACCCTGCAGTAATCTTTACTGGTAATAAAATCCCATGAGGGTACTTTCAAAATGTTTGTGGAAAATGAAATTGAAAGATACAGTTTATTTCAATGCAATAAAAGTTTAAATCCAGTTGTTTCACAATATACATTTCCAAAAACTTTTTGAAAACCCATTGTCCTCTCAAACCTCAAAGTTAATCTTTATTTCTGCAATTAGTCACTCAATGTTGGGCACACTGTAGGCTCAAAGTGAAGTGTGTCGAACAGAAAAGCCAAACTGGACCTCTTACTATGGTGATATTATTTCCTTATACACCTAAATAACCATGATGGTTACAAGTCAGATTAATTAAATATGAAGCTTTTATGTATGTAATGGGTTATATAATGGTTCCTGACTTCCTTATAGAAAATACAATATTGATCTCTACCCCCCTCCTTTTTTTGCATGCTCTATGCTTTAGTCTCTTTCTACTTTCATGTGCTTATGGAACTATGCAGCCTGAGTGATTTGCTAAGAAAATTGATGTGTATATCCTGTGTGAGTGATGATCTGAGAGTCCAGCCGAATCTCACCAGCTCCCCTAGGTAAATGCATTTCTTGTTCATATGGACTACATTTAAGATGTCATTTTCTTTTAAAAGGTTTTTTTTTTCTTTTTGCCTTCACAACTGAATTTTCCTTAAATAAGGGTGGGCAGAACAGTTTATCAGTTGCTGAACAAGCATTTGAGTCAATGGTGGAAACTGAGCCCTGTTTATATATTGCACTAACACAAGAAAGGAGAAATTGCATTTCTAAAAGTCAGCGCCAGTTATCACCTCCTGTACCAAGTGAGACCATAGAGAAGCCTTAAGATGGAGAATCTAGGCTATTTAGAGGAGAAAGGGGAAGCACAAGGGAGGGACAGAAGCGAACAGAAGCAGAAGGAGGTCCAAGGCTGAACTAGGACTAGAGGGTTTACCTTAGAAGAAACTGATCTGGAGCTGACAAAAGCGTAAGTCATCAACACAGGGCTCTGCGAGTGTGTTAGGAAGCTTCTGGAGTCCAGCTCAGGGCTCTCCTTCCAGGTGACTGTTACATGAGAGCAGCAGGTTGCAGACCTATGCGCACAGTTGTGAACCCTTTGTGAAAATGAACATGCACACATTCTTGTGAATAGAAAACTTCTAGAGGTGTGTTACTCTTCCTTTACCCGCCTATAGTTCTTGGTTTTGTGGAATAAAAATACAGAACATGATTTTAAAAATGGAAGCCAAAGAATTCACAAAGGGTAACGTTTTGGAAAGAGCAATTGTGTTGAAATTTGAAACACTGCATTTTGTCAGATGCAACAGGCTTATAAACCCTCAGACATTTATTGGAGATGTGCTTGAGGACTGGCCGGCTAGCTTCCTTTCTATTCAATGTTCTTCCCTTCAGTACACAGAGGAAAGTTTGTGAATTTGTCAATGGTTTCTGTGACTCAAGTTATTCATGTTAATATAGTATTTAAAGCCCTTCCTGATGTGTGTATCATCATACTGTACTAGGAAAGACTGCATACTGCCTTGGTCATTGGGTTTTGCATTTTTAAAACTGGTCCTAATGTCACGAATTGATTTAACACCTAAAGAACAAGTTAAAAACTAAACTTTCTATTCAACCAACCATATCTGCTTAATTAGCACTCTGCTGTGAGAAGAGCAGATATCAGCTGTGAATATAAAAGGACTTTGGCAGGAGTTGTCACAGTTTTCTCTTTCTGCTTTATTAGTACAAGTTTTAAATGTAGGGCTGTAAAAGCCAAAAAAATGCCCTGCAATTTGGTCCAGTGTTATATGGCTCCCCCGAAAAGGGGGCCTTCACTCACAAAAAGTAGGCCTCATCATTTCCAAAAGTCTTCCAGCAAATTTTCTTCTGGCCGTAAACTTGGGATTTAGAAAAAAAAAACTAATCTGAGCAGTTGTATATGTCACTTTTGCAGTGGAGGGAGACATGAGAGATAGGCGTGCTCCCTGATGCCTTAAGGAGGCTCTGCCACACTCTGCCTTAGCCAGTGACTATGACAAATAGGCATCTATTGTGCTTGAGAAATGAATTCTTCTTTCACAAAAATAATTATCCTTTTTTTCAAAGAGATAAAATAATATCCAAAGCAAAAAATAACCATGACTTCATTGCACTGAATGGATAAGACCACCACTACCTGTCTATAAATCAACAGAATGCCTTTGGGAGACTTCATGAATTAATAAACAGACTCTTGATCTATGTAAATAAGTAATGAAAGCTGGTTTTCTCCAATCCAGCTTTAGAGTTGTGTGATCTATATCAGGAGGAAAGCTGGCTGAGCTGACCATGGTTTATTCAACACCCAATTGTATTTTATTTTTTTTAAGATTTTTTTTTATTTATTTGAAAGAATTACAGAGAGAGGTAGAGACAGAGAGAGAGGTCTTCATCTGCTGGTTCACTCCCCAGATGGCTGCAACGGCTGGAGCCGTGCTGACCCAAAAACAGGAGCCAGGAGCTTCCTCTGGGTCTCCCACGTGGGTGCAGGGGCCCAAGGACTTGGGCCATCTTCTACTGCTTTCCCAGGCCATAGCAGAGAGCTGTATGGGAAGAGGAGCAGCTGGGACTAGAACCGGTGCCCCTATGGGATGCCAACACTTTAGGCCAGGGCTTTAACCCGCTGTGCCACAGCACCAGCCCCCAAGTTATTACTTAGTCTCCTTTCCTTTCCACTCCTGGGCTGTAGTGGGCCCATCACACTCCTGGGGCCAGTGAGAATCTTCCAGTGATTGGACAGATTCACTTGGCACCCGCCTCCGTCCAGACAGAGCAATACCTGCATGGCTGCTTCCTTATCACAATGATAAGCACGATGCAAATATCTTCTTTTGAATGCATGACCCTGGGTATAGCCAGAGGAAATGAACAATACTGCGTCTGAGCAGTAACTTTTACTTAGAATTGAGAGTTAAACTTAAGGACCCATACCTACAGTTCTAGCAAATCTAGCAAATCTAAGGTAAGTAAAGTTAATATCTTCATATTATCAATGAACTATTGGGCAGCCGAGTACCAGTACCTATGCACTTTCACAAAGCAAAGAACAACATGAGAACATTTATCTTTGTGACCTACTGCTTATTATTAAATGGAACATTACACTGAGGATTGAAGCTACAGAATCAAGAGAACCAGAAGTTGAATTCATGTATTTGTCAGAAATATTTCACATTTCAATTTTTACACAGGGAGAAAAAAAAAGAATGTTTTCACCTTGTAAATGCAATAATTTTTTCAAGTCTTTTAACTCTTTTTTGACAGCATGTTTGAATTGCACTCTCATACAGTTTCTTCATTTTGTTCTGTCTTGGGCATTCATTTGGATTTTAAATTCTCAGAAGTATTGTAAATTATACCCATGTCCTTTATGTTAAATTATGGTCATGATCAGGACTGTGGGTGTCATTTACAATGATATCAGCAGAACCCCACAATGGTTTGAATAATTTGGTAAAACCTTTTGGCCACATCAATGAAGAGAAATTTCAACGGATGAACTATTTAATACATGCTGAGCCATTTGGAATTCACCTCTTCACAAGGTTTTATTATCTCCTATGCAAGTCGGCAACTACTTCTAGAATATTTAAAGAATCAAATGCACTTTGATATGGTGATCTGGAAGGCAGTGCAAAGATGGCGAATTTATGACTCTGAGTGGGAGATGAGTCGAATGCATATGATGCTTTACAAAATCAACATATTTCTAAGTTTTAAAGTAAAAGCCATAGAAAATAACTGTAAGAATACATGTACTTCATAAAACTAAGTCAATCTCTTTTTTTAAATTAGCATCTATATTATCCCTAGTGAAAAAAGTTGACTTAAAATATGGAGGCTAAAAGAAAACCTAGCTAGATGCTGCAAACCTTCATTTTAAATATTTTATTTTATTTAGGACGATAACATGGATACAAAATCCATTCTAGAAGAACTTCTTCTCAAAAGGTCTCAGCAAAAGAAGAAAATGTCACCAAATAATTACAAAGAGCGGCTTTTTGTTTTAACCAAAACAAATCTTTCCTACTATGAATATGACAAAATGGTGAGACCCTATTTATTCTATTGTTTTTATACTATTTATTGTTTTCCCACAAAGTACTTGATTATAATGAAAGAATATCAGCCTTCTTAGCATACACAGTAAAAATGAACTTGCTTCCACTTATCACGTTGTCTTTTCTTAACTAAGATAAAAAATAAATTCAGGATAAAGGATTTTAAGGCATTTGTTAACTAAGGCAAAATATAACTTGAGACCAGTTCTCAACTGAGGGCATTTTTGCTTCTCACAAGATACTGCACAATGGTTGGAGACATTTTAGGTTATCACAGCTAGTGAGGGTAAATGCTTTTGACATTGGGTACATGGAGGCCAGCAATACTGCTAAATACCCTACAGTGCACAAGGACAGTCCCACAGCAAAGAAGGATCCCACTCCAAATGTTAGTAGGCTGACAGTTAGAAATCTGCTGTAAGTCAAACTATTTCTATATAGTTGGGGATTCTATTGTAGTAGAAAAGCTGAAATTCTGTCATGAACCTGAAACAAAGAATTGTTTTGTGGAGTTAAATCTTAATTTTTCTGAGTGTTCAAGGGTACTCCAAAAAGTTAGTGGAAAAATGGAATTAAATAATAAGCTGATTTTTGTGCAAAAAATTTTTTTGAAATTCATGCATACGCGAGATCTTCAAAAAGTTTGTGGAGTGGCGGGTATTTGGCAGAATGGTTAAGCCCCTGGTTGGGATGTCCACATCCTATAGCAGAGTGCCTGGGTTTGAGTCCTGTCTCCACTCTTGATTCTAGCTTCCTGCAAATGTGCACCATGGGATGCAGCAGCTGATGGCTCAAGTAGTTGAGTGTCTGCTACCCATGTGGGAGACCTGGACTGAATTCCCAGCTCCTGGCTTCTGCCTGACCCAACCCTGGCCATTGCGGTCACTTGGAAGTGAACTAGTAGATGGGAGATCTCTCTGTGTCCTTCTCTGTCTCTCTATCTGTCTCTTTCTCTCTCAAATAAATAAATTTTAAAACCTGTCCAAAAAGTTCATGGAAAACTATGCATGGATTCACCACATGGCAGGTGATCTGAAACACATTTCAAGATAATCAAACAAGATTATTAACTACTGCTTAAAGACTTGCTTTTGGAGGAGTATAATGTGTCCACCCTAAATACATTCTGTTGTCATTGGATTTTGACTATTATGGAGGAATGGGAAGTGATTCTTCACTGAGCAGCCATCCTCCAATCTCTCTTCCAAGCATAACTTTATCTTCACGCTTTCTTTGGGCACCATGGTACATCGCATGCAGTATTGTAATATTTTGTTCTAATTCAGAAAAGAGGCAGCAGAAAAGGATCAATTGAAATTAAGAAAATCAGATGTGTGGAGAAAGTGAATCTCGAGGAACAGACACCAGTGGAGAGACAGTACCCATTTCAGGTAAGGGCAGCAACAGCATTACCTTGGGTGGAAGTTTCTTTACTTTTGGTTTTCTTTTTAGATTGATTTACTTATTTGAAAGAGTTACAGAAACAGAAATCGTCCATCCAGTGGCTCACTCCCGTAAGTGGCTGCAACAGCCAGGGCTGAGACAGACCAAAGCCAGGAGCCAGGAGCTTCATTAGGGTCTCTCATGTGGGTGCAGGGGCCCAAAAACTTGGCCCACCTTCTGCTGCTTTTCCCAGGCCATTAGCAGGGAGCTGGATCTGCAGTGGAGCAGCCAGAACTCGAACCAGTGCCCATACAGGACGCTGGAGTCATAGGCAGTGTCTTAACCCGCCATGTCACCGCTCTGGCCCCTGAAAGTTTCTTTAATATTTTCTATCATGAACTCAGAATATCTAAGAAAAATAATGATGGTGTGAAATGATCTAGTAAGACATGACATGGCTTGGAACATCCCCAGATGGGAGTTGGGCAGTTAGCTGAAATTCTGTACAACAATCTGCCTTTCCTGGGGGGTGGGGGGACAAGAAGAGAGTGTAACTGCAGTGGCCTGGCCTGCCACGGGGCGGACAATCTCTTTCATTAGATAGTGTTCATCTTTGCTGTGCTATGAGCTGGAGCTGGTGGGCACACTATAGGTAATGAAACACTGCCCCTGCCCCAAGGCATTTGCAAGGAGGTGGCAAAATTGACAAGTGAACATAATGCAATGAGGATGAGTGTTGAGCTGGAAGTGGGCAGAGGACATCCATGGTGCCCCAGGCAGCAGGAGCTTTGTTCCTCCCTCCAGGAGGTCAGGGAGATGGTCTGTTGGAGGTGACACTCAGGTTCAGAAGCACAAGTAGTGCATAACCCAGCAAAGACAGGAAGCACAGCAGGACAAAAGCAACAGGTGTCAAGACACTGAAGTGTGAAGTAGCTTGGTCTCTTTGGCCAGCTCGAAGCAGTTTCTCTGAGTAAAGCACGAGAGAGTGAAAGAAACAAGCCTGAAGCAGTGGGAAGGACCCACGAGGAGCTTTGTACCCCCGTGGGCGGGAGTTTGAATTTGCCCTGATGTATTCCAAACATGATATGCTGTGGAGAGCACTTTTGGAAGTGACTTGAACTAAGCCATACCCGACTTTCATTTTATCATGAATACTTCCCACTCTGATCTAAAGGCAATGGATTGTTTTTCAGCTGGCCAGACTACCTAGTGCTAGTATTAGGAACTTATGGTCAGAAAGAAAATCTGGGGGCCGGTGTTGTGGCATAGCAGGTAAAGATGCCACCTGAAAGCCAGCATCCCATATGGGTACGGTTCATGTCCTGGCTGCTCCGCTTCTGATTCAGCTCCTTGCTCGGAGCTGGTGCTGTGGTATAGCAGGTAAAGCTGCCGCCTGCAGTGTCGGCATCCCATATGGGCGCGGTTCGAGTCCCAGCCACTCCACTTCCGATCCAGCTCTCTGCTATGGCCTGATTCAGCTCCTTGCTTAATGGCCTGAGAAAAGCAGCAAAAGATGGCCCAAGTGCTTGGGCCCTTGTCACTCATGTGGGAGACTCAGGTAAAGATCCTGGCTCCTGGCTTCAGCCTGGCTCAGACCTGGCCATTGCAGCCATTAGGGGAGTCAACCAGCAGATGGAAGACCTCTGTCTGTCTGTCTCTCTCTCTCTCTCTCTCTCTCTCTCTCTGTAACACTATCTTTCAAATAAATAAATAAATCTTTTAAAAAAGAAATCTGATAATCCAGTTAATTAACAACCCGTACTTTCCACTTAAAAAATATTACCCAATTGGGAGAAGCTGGGGGAGAGTGCTTGGAGATGCTGAAAAGACATCACAGAGACACAGGTACTCAAAAGGGCACAGGACTTGGAGCCTCACAGAACTCCTACCCCTACTACTTACATGACATCCATTCAGCTTCTCTCACTTGGAAAAATAGCATACTCATATTTTTCACTGAGTTGAAATAGCATTAAAATATTAAGGTTAACTAAGAAAGAGCTCAGCAACTAGTAAGTGTTTAACAAATGGTATGTATCATTTACCAACAGGAGTTGAAGAAACTAGAGAAGTATCTGGAGAAGATATTATACTCTTTGAACGTTTACACGTGTGTGAAAGAATAGAGAAGAGCTTACTTGGGGATTCCTGGGTGCCATGTAATGCAACAGATTGAAGCAATAGGGAGATACATTTTTATTCAACATAAGCATGAGCTGTATAATGATGAGAATATAAGAAATCAGCAGAGATGGCATAGCGAAGTAAAGGACATTCTATCCCTGGAGGAATTTTTAAGGATAGAACAGCTAAATCAATGTTTTCTAATAGACTACAAAAGCAATCACCATTGGGTAGGCAGATGGACAAGACCCCTCCTACAACACATGTCATGTCTAACATATTAGAGTTCTCAATGGCACAGGGCATCTCTGCTGAGACCTCAATGGTCACCACTTTTAGGTACATCACTGCTATGATTTCCCATGTAAGAGTGTCTGGGATAAAACCAACTGAGGAGTGGAAGATTTTTAAGAATATGCTTTTTAATCACCTCCTTCCAGAACTAATGCAAATTATATATATATGGATAACAGGAAACTTGCAGATGTGCCAGAGCGAACTATGATGTAATTTTATCTAAATGCACCAAATCCTTTCCCTTCCAGATCGTCTACAAGGATGGGCTTCTCTATGTCTATGCATCAAATGAAGACAGCCGGAGTCAGTGGTTGAAAGCATTACAGAAAGGTATTTTTTAAAATGTCATAAAAGAGAGGAATTGACTGAGTTCTTTTGAAGCACGATAGAGGAACACCATGGTAGTAAAAGGACGCGATGCCAAGAGAGAACCTCCTGATTTGTCTGCCACCCTCAGGGACTGTGCCAGACTCATCATTTCACACGCTCATGGCTGCGTACAGGAAGCCTGTGGGTTGGATGCCCTTCCCTGTTCAGCACAGAGCTGGCCATTGTGCCTTCACAGCAGCTTGGGGAAGCCAGGCCACTTGGTCTCCACCCACTGGGCTTGCCTTTACCAGGCCAAAGTTCAGGTGCTCACGGACCTGTATCAAGTCCTGTGGCTGCTGTACCTTTGATGTTTAAGGAAAGTTAGACCCAGTATGCACTAAGCACTTACCATTTCCTAGCTGCTGCCAGGAGCCAGGAGCTTCTTCCAGGTCTCCCACATGGGTGCAGGGGCCCAAGCACTTGGGCCATCTTCCCCTGCTTTCCCAGGCCATAGCAGAGAGCTGGATTGGAAATGGAACAGCCAGGACATGAACCAGCACCTGTATGGGACGCCAGTGCTGCAGGTGGCAGCTTAACCTGCTGCACCATAATGCTAGGCTCCCAAAACCACTTTTTTTATCCAGTACATTATAAACACAAGGGCCTGCTGAAGCTTTTATTCAGTGATTTTTAGGCTGCCCTAGTAACAGCCTGTAATAGGAGGGAGAATCTTTGCTATAATTTGGCATTGTGAGGGTTTCCTCTGCAGCATTTTTACTTTAAAGTGGGTAATGGTCTGAACACAATCTTCCACTCAAATAATGACTTCGTCTGTGCATTTTCAGGCACTGAGCTCCTAGAGTGGCGAAGCTTTTCTTCCCTTCAAGTGTTAGAGCCTGCCTTTCCTCGGTACACCTCAAACTACACACACCAACTCTGCTTGGAGGCAGACACTTCCTTTTCCACACACAGGGCTTAATTTTCCCTTCGCATGAAAGGGCCTAACAGCTGATTCTGTAGGCAAGTGAGGTGGCCCACCGTGGGAGGGAAGCATCCTTCGCCCACTCCCAACTTGTTGAAGTGAGAAGGGAATCCCTCTTAGCATGACACAAAACTGCAGCCAACTTCTGCGTTGCTGTGCCATTTAACAGAACAGACTAATATTGGTATCTCTGGGTATCAGTTTCCTAACCTGTAAAATGAGAGATCACATTTCTTTTTCTCTTGGAGTAGTCATGTGTCACGAGTGAGATGGTCAGTACGTTGCATACGAGCATGAGTCTCAGTGGTTGTAGCAGAGTTTCCAGGGTCAGCTTGAAGACTCTGCTTCCCTTTCAACCTCCTCGAGGAGTGCGGGGAGGCGAACAATTGCTACGTAGACACCATCTGTGTGCAGCTCTTGGTCATGTTGTGGGTCTTTATCTGTGGGTCCTTCAGGAACTATCTATATGGGACGAGTTTGGATGGCCCCTGGGCAGTTGCTGTGAAGGCATATAGAAAAATGAAGAGTGGAGAGGCAGAAACATGTTTGCTAGCCCCTCAGAAAACTACAGCAAGTCCCCATCACTAGGGCAGCCACATGTGCAGTAGATGATTTGCATCCACGAGTAATGCTTTTTTTTTTATTTTTTGACAGGCAGAGTGGACAGTGAGAGAGACAGAGAGAAAGGTCTTCCTTTGCCGTTGGTTCACCCTCCAATGGCTGCCGCGGCCGGCGCACCGCGCTGATGCGATGGCAGGAGCCAGGAGCCAGGGGCTTCTCCTGGTCTCCCATGGGGTGCAGGGCCCAAGCACTTGGACCATCCTCCACTGCACTCCCTGGCCACAGCAGAGAGCTGGCCTGGAAGAGGGGCAACCAGGACAGAATCCAGCGCCCCGACCGGGACTAGAACCCGGTGTGCCGGCGCCGCAAGGCGGAGGATTAGCCTAGTGAGCCGTGGCGCCGGCCTCACAAGTAATGCTTTTGACTGCAGGTAAAAAAGATCTCAAACAACTGCTAAAATAACTTCGCTGTTGTTCTCCCACAGTAACAAATCCAGAGGTCGTCAGTCCAGGGTTAGTGCACCAGCTCAATGAACATTATTAGCTTGTGATATCTACTACTTCCTAATCTCTCGTTGTTAAGCAAAATATAACAATAATGCATCTTAAAGTGATACATATGGGCCGGCGCCGCGGCTCACTAAGCTAATCCTCCACCTGCAGCACCAGCACCCCAGGTTCTAGTCCTGATCAGGGCGCCGGATTCTGTCCTGGTTGCCCCTCTTGCAGTCCAGCTCTCTGCTGTGGCCCGGGAGGGCAGTGGAGGATGGCCCAGGTGCTTGGGCCCTGCACCCCATGGGAGACCAGGAGAAGCACCTGGCTCCTGGCTTTGGAACGGCGCAGCGCCGGCTGTAGTGGCCATTGGAGGGTGAACCAATGGAAAAGGAAGACCTTTCTCTCTCTCTCTCTCTCACTGTCCACTCTGCCTGTCAAAAAAAAAAATAATAAAGTGATACATATGAACAAAAAGAAAGATAGGGCAAATGTGGCAGGCAGTTAATAAGTGATGGATCAAGGTGGATGTTCACTGTACTATTCTTGCAACGTTTCTGTACATTCGCAATTTTTCAAAATAAAAAGTGAGGGGAAGTGAATGCACAGCAGAACGCTTTTTTCCTTCTCTGCTGAGACCTACTCCTGCCCGCCAGCCCCTCTCCCACAAAGAGCACCGGTGCTGTGGCCTCGCTTCCCTCAGGGCTGAGTTTCTCTAACTTAACACCAAGCTCACCTGTATATGCATATTCTACTAGGTTTTTTTTTTTCCTTCAAGAGTGATACAGGTTCAGCATCCCTAATCCCACAATCCCAAATTCAAAATCTGGAACTTTTTGCACACCAACATGATGCTCAAAAAGTTTCAGATTTGGGAGCATTTGGAATTTCAGATTTTTAGATTTAAGGATGCTCAGCAGGCAAAGTCTATGCAAATTCTCCAAAAGCCAAGCAATTCTGAACTCTGAAACACTGGTCCTAAGCATTACAAATAAGGGACACTCAACCTCTATACGTTATTTTGTTGTTTTCACTTTATACATGGTTAGACTCTTTAGCTTATTGTCTTCTGAGTGAAAAACTTACATCCTTTGAGAGCCATGTGCTCTTACCATGGTTGCTGGCAAAATGAGGTTTTTACCCTTATGTGATAAGAGTGCCTGCTGAATGCATTTTTTCTTTTGGACCAATGTTCACTCACATCTTGTTTTCTTCCTGCCTGCTCCCCAGAGATCAGGGGCAACCCTCACCTGCTGATCAAGTACCACAGTGGATTCTTCGTGGACGGGAAGTACCTGTGCTGCCAGCAGACCTGTAAAGCAGCCCCAGGATGTACCCTCTGGGAAGCATGTAACGTGTGACTCCTCTTTTGGGCTGGGCACTGGGGGGATGGTGCCCCATTAGGCCAACCCTAAAACAGCTTGGAAGTAAATAAGATGTGCCAACTTGGTTGACATCGTGAAAATCCAGCCTCACAGATGTTATGTAGCAAATGAAGTGTAATTCTAGGGCCAATTGAGTTATAGCTATTAAAATAATAATAACATTAACATCTGCCATTCTTTCACTTCATGAGAAATTCTTCCTGGCTTAAGTTAAACTCCAAAGAGGTAGAATGTGGTAAACACATCACCATGATCTAAAAAGCTACATTTCCCTCTTAAGAAAACCAGCTCTCTCTTCATGTAAGTAACAAAAATCATAAACTAAAAAACCGAAACTGCACACTTCAAAAACTATATATCAGGGGCAGATGTTAGGCATAGCAGTTAATATGCTATTTGGGATGCTCACCTTCCATATCAAGTCACCACTGTACTTCTGATTCCAGCTTCCTGCTAAGGTGCACCCTGGGAAGCAGCAGGCCATGACTCAAGTAGTTGGGTCCCTTCCATGTGGAAGACCCGGATTGCGTTCCCAACTCCTGCCTTTAGCCTGGCCCAGCCTTTGTTGTGGGCAACTGGGGAATGGTTGAACCAGTGGATAGAAGATCCCCCTCCCTTCTCCCCCCCTCCTTCTCTCCTCCTTCCACCTTTCAAAATAAATAAAAATGTTCAACAATATATCAAGAGATAAAATGTAAGTCACACTTTAATCACTATACATACCAAAATGATGATGGCTAAGTTTGAAAAGATATATTTAAGGTAGTTTTCCATTCTGTATATGTGTGTCAATTTTTTAATGACAGTAGAGTAGGTAGAGAGGGTTTGCTTTAAGTGCAGAGTCTATCCAGAGTTTTATTCCTAGGGAAGAGAGGGACTTATGTATTTCAAAAGTTTTACTTTTCAGATGCTGATCTTCATGTTGCAATCAATGAAGAGAAACAGAGAGCTCCTACCTTCCCAGACAGAGTGGTAAGTTGACATTTTGAAAATGTTTTTTGGCCGGCGCCACGGCTCAGTAGGCTAATCCTCCACCTAGCAGCGCCAGCACACCGGATTCTAGTCCTGGTCGGGGCGCCGGATTCTTTCCCGGTTGCCCCCC